CCTCAACCTGCTGGGCTCCGGCGATCCTTCTGCCTCAACCTTCCAAGTAGCTGGAACTACAGGCGTGTGCTACCATGCCCGGTTAGTTTTTTTTTTTTTTTATTGTAGCGATGAGGTCTCGCCAAGTTGCCCAGGCGGGTCTTGAACCCGTGGGCTCAGGCAATTCACTCACCTTGGCCTCGCAAAGTGCAGCATTACAGGCTGAGCCACTGAGCCTGGCCGACAAGAGTTTTTAAATACGTGAAGAGAGAGGTAAAGGAATCAGAATAAGAGACATATGGTGGGAGAAAGTGTCGAGTGGCCTATTGCTGACTTTAAAGTTGGAGATGGCCATGAGCCAAGGAATGCAGGCTGCCTCTAGAGGGTAAAAAGACAAGGAAAGAGATTTTCCTTAAAAGCTTCCAGGAAGAAATTCAACGCTGCCGCCATTTTGATTTTGATCTAATGAGACCCATTTCAAACTTTCGAACTCCAGAGCTGTAAGACTGAGTTATTTTAAGTTACTAAGTTTGTAATATTTTTAAAACCATCAGTTGGAAACTAAGACACAGGAATCCCTAGAAGAAGCTACTGTAGTTGTTTAGATGAGCTTTGGTAATGGTTTAAGAAATATTTTATACCTTCTTCCTAGGCATGGGGATTTGTGTTAGTTTCATGTTGGTCATCAGACCATTTGTTACTTCTATGTATGCAGAATTGGGTCTTTTATAAGTTTCTCCCAATACTTTCACTTCAAAGCACAACTTGTCTTCATACATGGGATTCCAAGTCACCCGGGGGAATAAACACTTGGCAGCAGTGCCAGAAGCAGATACCTTGGGAAAACCAAATGATAGGGCACATCAGTGAACCAGTGTGTGAGTGTGAACTGAGAAAGTCTACACTCCCACAGGAAGAGGGATAAACATCATGATCAGACCATTGCAGATTTGACCACTGCAGACTTGGGTGCTCCTCTGAGATTTGAAACAGGCACACAAGATAACGCTCAGATGCCTCAACACAAACAATGCACAAAGTTAATTTTGTACTTCCCTCTACTGACCCTGATAAATACATCTCTATTGGGATGAATGAATGAATGAATCTCTATTGGAGCCAAGCATGGTGGCATGTGCCTGTAGTCCCAGCTACTAGGGAGGCTGAAGCGGAGGATTGCTTGAGCCTGTGAGTTCAAGGCTGTAGTGGGCTATGAACATGCCACCGCACTCCAGGCTGGGTGACAGAGCGAGATGCCATCAAATAAATAAATAAATAAATAAATACATCTCTGTTGGAAAGGGAATTCCTTTGCTTCTCTGGTAATCATAGGCAATGTTCAGGTAGTCTTTTATGACTGTGTCTCTTTGTGTTTGTTAAAAGCAGAACTCAGAGCGTCATGGTGCAGGGTCTTATTTTTATAGAATAACTCTCTAGGTTCAAATATTCAACATCCATAAGTATTTTTTAAGGATTGGTGGTAAGGTAACTTCTGAATACGGACACTATCTTAGAAGAATTTTCTTTTTAATCAGTGACCCAAAACTCTCTCTTATATTTAGACGCCTGGATCTAGGGTTACGTATCAAGATACATGTATGGTGCTGTTTTGCTGAATGCAGCTGTCCTGCTGTAGGCCAAAGATAATTTGCTGATCCAGGAGCTGAGGCCAGCGATTTTATGTCTGCATCTGTTTCTGCCCATAACTTGTGGGCTGAGACAGGGTGACTTGAAGAGCTGTAGTCCTGTCAGCCTCTGCTATTCCAACAGCGGTAAGACAGGATTATTTGCTCCTTGAACTTTTGCTCCCTTGAATACAGCCAGTGCTCCCTCCTGCAAAGTGACTGCATAATACTTTGATCATACCTCCGTCTCGAGACTCCCATATCTTCTCCTGTTTGTGTATGCACCTGTTCCCCCACTAGACTAGGAGCGACCTTCTTAGGGGCCTCTCTTAATCCTATGAGACTTTCCAAATGGTTAGAAGAGGAAATGGATAAGCGTGATCGCATCATGGGGAAATAATTTGCAAAGCTATTTTTGTCCTGTATATGGAAGGTATAGTCAGAAGCGGAGTGCTTAATGTGGACAGTGGTTGTTTTTTTTCTGCCCAGCATCCGTGTCTCCGTCTTCTGGTAAAAGCACTTTGGTTTTCCTTTGGGGAGCCACCCTTCCCGCACCCTCAATCCATAAAGTTTGGGTGGAGCTGACCTCACACTCCCAGTAATTGAATCCTGTCTTCAGGCCTGACCCAAGAGGGCAACACACACTCCCCTTGGCTGCAGCATCAACTTGTGTTGGTATGATGGCCACACCTGTTTGTTATTGGTTGGTATCCATTCTGATGGGTCAGTTCCTCTTTCAAATCAATTGTGCATTATTTTGAATTCAACCTTTTTTCCTTTTTTTTCCCTGGAGTTATTAGGGAAGAAACACTTTATTTCTACCAGCATTGCTAAGCTGGTAGGAAGAAGTCCAAAGTTGTTGGCAGCTTGTCCCTGTGAAACTAAAATGAACTCAGCAAGTTGGGGCTGAGAAATGGGACAAGTTTCTAATAACATTGAGCACCATGATCCAGCTGCACATGAAGCGATTCCTGGAATTTTCAGTTACATGAGCAATACTCTACTTTTTGCTCTGGCCAGTTTTTGTCACTGACTGATGAAAGAGTCTCTTGGCTGATACAGCAAGTCAATCCTTTTTCTAACTGAGCTTTTAGGAGTGGAACAGCCCTGCAGGCTGCCCCGGACAAAGAGCACTTTGCTGGCCTTAGAACTAGGGCCTGAGGGATCCCCAAAATTAGACCCTCTCTTGACATGAGGGATCTCACTCAGTGGCAGAATTTTTCTTATTTAATTTTCACTTCAGTGAAATGGACATTTTTAGTGTCTCAGAAAAGGGCCATAACTTAGGCCATAAATTAGTTCAGAGTGATGTCTTTCTAGCCCCACTGCTGGCCTCTCTATGTTCCCCCCTGCAGGCCAAGGCTGGGATGGATGAGCACATTTTGGTTATGGAAGTCTCTAGAAGGTTGGGACCACAAATAAAACAATTCACACACTATGGTAAACAGGCTTACTGAAAACCATTTTATTCTGCCTCTCAACAACACTATTCATTTGATCTGGGTAAAAGACCAGGGACCCAAATATGCACAAAAAAAAACAAGATGTCAGAAACAGAAATCAGGATCCAATCTATTGGAATGATGCCAGAATCTCTGTGTGCTGAGAATTCGTGTCCCTGATTCAATGTCCTCCTGGGACAAGTGCTGGCTCATGACAGACATCTGGGTAAAATGACAGATGGAATCTGGTGTCCATCTGGTGTGTGTGTGTGTGTGTGTGTGTGTGTGTGTGTGTGTGTGTGTGTGTTTTACTTTTATTTTATTTTTTTGCTAGGGTTCAGTATTTGAACAAATGCCTGAGATTCACAATAATCTAAGAACAATGCTTTGTATTTGTATAGTAATTAGAATTTCCCCCAGGGTCATTCACATCTATTACAACAATTAATTCTCATAACAGCACTGTGAGGTAAATAGTCATTGTTATATCCATTTTCCAGGTGAAGAAATTTGAGGCACAGAGAGGCTAAGAAACTTGCCTAAAATCAGCTTGCATAGCTAGTCAGTGGCAAAAAACAAAACAACATGACCAAAGAAGGTGTTGGGATTCAAGTATTTTGACTCTCAGTTCATTCAGTTAGAATAAGCTGCCTTTTCTTTTGCTATGAAAGTTTATTATCACTGTGTTTCTAATATTAATTCTTGAAGAGACTTTTGCCATATATACATATCATCTGGTGTGTTAATTACCTGATATTTTCTTTGAGTCCTCCTACTTTTCTTAAGTTATTTTATTTGAACAGAAACAATATATTGCATCCATTCATGGGAAGCCATAAACAGAAAAATAAAGACCATGAAAGCAAAACACTATCATTTCATTCTATCTAGACAGAAGACTTTGAACCTGAGGGTTGCTCTTTCTTTGTGTCAGAAAGGTGTTAGGATCCACTAGCACTAAACAGAGACTTTTTCCTTATTGTAATCAGGATGGAAAAAGAATAGAAAACAGGGAAACATTAATACTTAATGTTGTGTCTATATGCGATTTAAAAATTATCTTGTGTACCACCAGTGGTACATACCCTGCGCTCTGTGAAACACTGGGTTAATGTGTCCTGGCAGGCGGAATAATGGTGTCATTAAACCAGTACATTCATACCTAAAGGGTTTACATGTGACAGAAAAGAAATACAGTGGATGGCATTTCCAGGTGGCATTCGGGACAAAGACCTTGCTTGAGATGTGAGAATGAGAGAGAGAGAGAGAGAGAGAGAGAGGAAACAAAAGCACATTCCATAAACACAGCCAGTTCATTCCCAAAACTGAGATGGAGAAGGTGCATATGTGGCTAGAATTGACCACTGAGGACATTCTCAGAGTCTGTCTGTTTGGGTGAAGAATGAGGTTGTGGTCAAGTTGATCAATGTGGGTACAAGGAGGGAAGGGAGGCTATTAGGGAAAATTAGGGTCAAGGCCAGAAAGCTCCTTCCTTTGAGTCTTTGATGACCATTGGTGAACTCTGGGAGTGGAAAAGCTGCTGGAGGAGTTACTGAAGGTGAAAGTGAAGCTACAACATATAAAGAATAAAAGGAAAAGCAAATCCACAAATTTGACTCTATTAGGCAACTTTCAACATGCTGCAAATATTTGCGCTTGATATTGGAAATACCAGTATCCACTGCTCTTCCTAGGAGCCTCCCTCTTCCCCCAAATCCGGACCCCCTCCCCCACCAAATGAAAAGTAATGAGATTTCCTGAGGCTCGTCTCTGGAGAAGAGGAATAAACACAACGGCCTTTGCTAAACTGAGACAGTGAGACTTCATTTTTTCTTTTCCTTTTTACAAATCAGTGACTGACTGATGGGGCTGTGCTGCTTGGATTCCCTAGATTTTGGACTTTTTGTTGTTGCTGTTCGTTTGCCAGGGACCTGCCTCTGGAGAGTCCTGGAGGAAAAGATCTCACAGTCTGAAGTCAAGGATCCATTCCTCAGAAACTCCTTTGGGGTGTGTGTGGATGAGGTCCATCCTCCACACTTTCAGTCCACCGACAGCTGGCTCCTCAGGCACTGTGTGGTACAGAGAGACAGAAAGAGAGAAAGAGCGTGCATTGAGCTTCCGCGGTCAGCTTCTGTGGCTTGACGGCTTCCTTACTTGATGGAGATTACTCTGATTAAACAAACGCCGAAATGGACTCCCTTCCTGCACATTTCTGACTCTAAGAACTGGCTTCCTTTTGAGAAATACATTCTATTTGGAAAGCATATTTTATTTTCCATATGGCACATGCAAAAAAAAAAAAAAAAGCCCCTGAATGGTCCAGATGCAGCGAAATGTCTCTTGAGCAGTTCTCAATTTCATTCTCCTCCCCAAGGGTTAGTAGTACTGTTAGCAGTGCGGTGTGCATTCTTTAGGCATTTTCCTCTGCATTTAGACTCACAAGTATGTATTTAGAAATGATATACTCATCGTGTGTGTGTGTGTGTGTGTGTGTGTGTTTTACATGATGGGATCATGCGGCAATTTCCTTTTATGTTTTTACTTATTCATTCATTTATTCAATAAATGCATGCTAGGCTAGTGGTGATAATAGTAATACCCAGCAGTTACATAGTGAGTATAGTGCATTAGGCACTGTGCTTTGTGCAATTTATATATTTATATATTTACTTATTTATCTTGAGACGGAATCTGGCTCTGCCACTCAAGTTGGAGTGTGGTGGCCCAATCATAGTTCACTGCAGCCTCGAACTCCTGAACTCAAGTGATCCTTCTGCCTTAGCCTCCTGGGTAGCTGGGACTACAGGCGCTTGCCACCTCACCTGGATAATTAAAAAAAAATTGTAGAGATGAGGTCTCACTATGTTGCCCAGTCTGGTCTTGAACTCTTGGCCTCAAGTGATCCTCCTGCCTTGGCCTCTCAAAGTGCTGGGATGGCATGAGCCATCACTGCCCAGCTGTTTTATGCAATTTAATCCTCACAGCCCTATGAAGCAGGTACTGTGATTATTCACATTTTCTGAGAAAACCGAGGCACAGATTGGTTAAAAGACGTACCCAAGGACACATAGTTACTTAGCGGTAGCAAGTAACTACAGAAACAATTTGACTCTATTAGGCAACTTGCCAGCAGTCTGGGTTGATACTCCAGCAGTCTGGTTTCTAAGTAGGCACCATTAAGGGCCTATGCTTTATTATTATGGACAAGGACAGAAATGAGAATGTTCCTGGAGTTTTCATCCCAGTAGAGGGAAACAGACTGTGATTATATAATTTGTCAGGGAGTGGCAAGTGCTAGGCAGTAAAGTAAAACTGGCTAAAAGGATAGCCTCTTGCTAAGGTCGTATATGTAACGAGCTTAGAAGGAGACATAGGAGACATGGGAACAAGCTGTGTGGATTTTAGAAGGAAGAGAGTTCCTGGTAGAGGCAACCACAAATGCAAAGGCCCTGAGGCAGGAATATGTTTATGTTGCTCAGAGGGAAGAATAAAGGATGGCTGAAGCGGAGGGAGTGAGGGTGAGGGTGAGGGGGAGAGAGTTGGTAGATGAGGACAGGGAGGTAGCAACCAGATCATGCAGGACTTAGGAATTGTAAAGCCATAGTAAGAAGGATGTTTCTGTGTTTGTTTATTTATTTATTTAATATAGAAAGTATGCCTTTATTTTTTAATTAAATAGAATTAAGTTGTTTTTTGGATAAGAGTTTCACTCTGTCACCCAGGCAGGAGTGCAGTGGCACCATCATGGCTCACCATAGCCTTGACCTCCTGGGCTTGTTTCTGTAGTTAAACTGCAGTGTAGTATCCCATCATATGAATAAAAGACTACTTATTTAAGCTGTCTATTCGTATTTAGGTTGTTTCCAGGTTACCCTTATTTCAAACAAAGCCGTAATGAACATTACTACATATCCGTTGTTCACAACTCTGGCTGCACATCAGAATTACCTAGAGAACCCTAAAACCTACCAAGACCGGGTCCCATTACCAGTGATTCTAATTTAATTGGTCCAAGTGGGCTCTGGGCATTGGCATTTGTTTAAGGTTCCCTAGGTGATACTAATACAGAAGCTAGGCAGAGAATGAACACATTACATGCATTTTTGTGTGCCTGTATCTAGGGTGATTACTGAGAAGTGGAATTGCTGGATTGGTGGACACATGAATTTTAAAGTTTAGTAGTAGATACATACAACGGACTTGCCAAAAGACTGTCCCAATTTACTTTTCCACCAACTTATAGCAGCCAATTTTTCCCACACTGGCTAACCTTGATATTATCCATTGTTTAAATTGTTTCAGTCTGGTAGACAAAAAATGTAGTGTCTTATTGTTGCTCTAATTTGCACTTCTCTCGTTACCAGTGAGGTTGAACGTCTTTTTCACGACTATTCTGATTTCTTCATCAATATCCCACGAGTTTACATCCTTTTCAAAGCAAAAATCCTTCTATTGTTGCTGGCAACTTAGGTGTGACTTGTCTCTACCTCAACTTTTCTGAACCAACAAAGAAAGACCCTCTGACTTTCTGGAAATAAGTAAATGTTCCCGATTTTTCACTATGGAATCACAAAAATTCTCTGAAGACATATCTATGCAAAAACAATTCTCAGGAAGCCTTACCCTAGCCAATCATACATGAAAGAGGAGGAATTTGCTTTTATGTTTTTGCCTACATTGATATACATGCTTCCTTCCAATCCTAATGCAATTGCAGGATATCTTGGGACCAGGGAAGGATTTATGTCAGTTTGTTTATAAGAGAGAAGGTTGCCCAGTGCAGAATATCTGCTGATCTGTGCCTGCTAATAGGACACAGTTGTGGAACTCTTACCTCTGTTTAGAGGTCATATTCTTTTTTTTTTTTTGTTTTGTTTTTTTAGTTGGATTCTCTCTCTGTCGCCCAGACTGGAGTGCAGTGGCCGCTCCCGGCCACCGCAGACTCAACCTGCTGGGCTCCAGCGATCCTTCCGCCTCAGCCTTCCAAGTAGCTGGAATTACAGGCATGCACTACCACGCCTGGCTGGTTTTTTGATTTATTGTAGAGATGAGGTCTTGCTGCCCAGGCAGGTCTCGAACCCGCGGGCTCAGGCAATCTACTCACCTCAGCCTCCCAAAGGTGCGGGATTACAGAAGCCACTGAGCCCGGCTGGTCATATTCCTCCTTAATGAAAACCTTGGAACACAAAGGCTCTTACATGCTAAGAATAACGAACAAGCATTTTTAACACACCGGGTGTGTACCTGGCTGTTTAGATATCTGCAAGACTGTTCAGAGGTGTAAATTTAGTGGAACTGCATTGTATATACATTTAACATGGCAAATCAACTATTTATGTTTCCCAAAGAGAAAAAAGCAACTGTTTGAATGGAGCTGAAGATTCTGGTGGCCATTCTGCTCAATGGTCATGAGCATGGATGGGGATGTCACTTCTGTTCCTTCTCTGTGAGCCCAGAGTGTGGTTCCAGTGTTTAAATAGACTCTGTGAGCCCTATATCCTGCCCACTGCTTCAGCTCGGGCTTATCCCCAGGAGAGGTCACCTATTCCAACACTGGAAACATCCGCTGGTTATGTTGGGCTGATAAGATACTGTGTGTGAGTCTCCCACTCTGGATGCCCTTCTCTGGATGCCTTAAACTTGAGTTTAATTACACCCAAAGCTCACCTGTTGCCTTGACACGAGCACCTCACCACTGAGTAAAATATGAAGTGCCACCTGGGGTCATCTGAGAATGTCATATTCATGGTAGGGAACACTTGACTCTCTCATACTTGTAAACTAAAAATAAAACCTGAATCCCCCCAGCTGACTGAACGGACACCCTCTTGGCCAAGAGGACCCCAGAAAAACCCTAAAAACTGAATTCCTGGCCATGATGGGAAGGAAAGTCAGGCATGTTTCATTATACTGCCTCTTTTTTGCAGTGTAGGCACAAGTGACCAGCATTAAGGTCAAAATAGAGATAAGGCTGACAAGTCAGAATCTTCATGGCAATAAGATACCAAATTATAAACAAGACCTAAGACCACACAAGACAAGGGTTGAGTCATGCCCTACAACCATAAAATCTCATTAAATAGGTTTTTAAATTAACCAGATAACATGGGGCTTACTTTCCAAACTTACTCTGGTATAGCACCATATGACAGACAGCAGACTCCCTGATCTTCAGCGTTCCTTTCTATTGACTTCCAGTCTTTAGACAAAGCTGAACTTTTTCAGCCAATTGCCATCTAAAGAATGCCTAAAACTCACCTATGACTTGGAAGGCCACACTCTAAAATGTACTGCCTTTCCGGCTCAAGCCAATGTATATCTTCCATGTATTGAGTCATTATTTTACCTACAACTCCTGTCTCCCTAAAAGGCATAAAAACAAACTGTAACCCGACTGTCTCAGGCATACTTTCTCAGGACCTCTTGAGACTGTGTTGCCTGGGTCATAGTCACTCATATTGGCTCAGGATAAATCTCTTTAAAATATTTTATAGAGTTTGGTTTTCCCATTAAACAAACCCAAGCTTTGTCATGGTCAATTATTTTTGCTGCTAAGAAGTTTCCACCAAATCCTTAGAGCATCAGATGAGTGACCACAAGCCTAACCACAAGAAGGGAGGAGGAGAACCAGAAATGATAGCTCGCACCTATAATCCCAGTTACTTGGGAGGCTGAGGTGGGAGGAACAATTGAGTCCAGGAGTTCAAGACCAACCTGGGCAACATAGAGCGATCCTGTTTTCAACAAATAAACAAACCAAGTCCAAAAACTAATAAGAGGGAGGAGGAACTTCAGGAGGTGTGTAAACTTTCTAAGAAGGTAGCAATAGTTGAAGTTTCTACTAGGTATCTTAGATGTGATATTGTGATATAATAAGAATTAAATATTTGATCTCTGCCTCTGGCTCCTGAGACAGAGCTCCTGATATCCTTGCAGATAGGGGTGCTAGAAGAATCTTTTGATCTGATATCTGGTCTTTGACATAGAACTCCTAAATCCCTTGGACTTTCCTGGGTAATAGGAGCATTTTTGTTCTAATGAGGCACCTCTTGGTGGGCTCCTGGATAGCCTCAGCATGGGGGCTGGTTACCAGGGGAACCAACCACGTGGTAAGAAGTTTGGAACTTTCAGTCTCTCCCCTCAACCTCCAGGGAGGAGAAAGGGGCTGAGTTAATTTAAATAGGTTTTTAAATTAACCGGATATCCTGGGGCTTACTTTCCAACCGTACTCTGGTCTAGCACCATATGACAGACAGCAGACTCCCTGATCACCAGAGGCCAATGATGTAATTAACTATACTTACATAATGAAGCCAAAAAGACAGAGTTTGGAGAGTTTCTGGATTGTTGAACATGTGGAGGTACCTGGAGGGTGACACGTCCAAAGAGGACATGGAAGCTCCTTGCCCCTTCCTATACACCTTGCCCTATGCATTTCTTCTATCTGGCTATTTGTCTGTATCCTTTGTAATAGTCAATGGTACATACAAGTAAGTGCTGCCCTGAGTTCTGTGAGCCACTCTAGCAAATTAATAGAACCCAAGGTATGTGTGGGGGGGCGGTCATGGGAACCCCCAATTTATAGTTGGTCAGTCAGAAGCACAAGTAACACCCTCGGGCTTGCAGTTGGCATCAGCTATAGAGGGGGAAGTCTTGGGAGGACTGAATTATTAGCCGTGGGATCTGACTCTAATTCCCAGGTGATGGCATCATAATTGAGTAAAATTGTAGGATTCTCCAGTATTCACTGGGGAATTGCTTGGTGTGTGAGGAAAGCATATCTGGTCACATAAGTGTGTTGAGTTGACAGTGTAAGGGGAAAAAAACCAAAACTGTTTATGTCTTATGTTAGGGTTTTAAGAAAGTCTTGTTTTGTGGCATATGTCCACGCAGGCAAGAACATTTTCATTAAATATTAAACCTTGAACAGTGGTTCTGAAACTTTGGAATACTTAGAATTTTATTTTGAAGGGTGCTTGTGATAATGAAGATGTCTAGGCCACTAAGGGCCTTGACCAAGGCCCAGGAATCTGCGGTTTTATAAACATCACCATTGAATCTGTTATAAGTGGCTCTGAGATCTGTGTTTTAAGAAACATGTTTGGGATAACCCAACCTCGCTTGAGTCCTTGAGGTACCAGGAGAAAGCAAAAGCCTGCAGACATGTTGATTTAGGCTAGGGATTTGAATTACTAGGATTGATAAACAGATGGCTACTATATTTCAATGTTTTGCCTTTGTGATTTATTTCTCCACTTTTCCTAGAAACTTAAGGGCAGACAATTTTCTGACTTTGAGAGATTGCAAGTTTATGATTCTGTTTGGACCAGAACACTTTTCTGCTGTCAATACAGTGTTCTATCCAAAGCTGTTGAATATTTCAATTTAACGATTTCCAGCTCCTGGGAATTTGATGTCATGAAACCCTGTCTTTTTTTGCCCCAACCACCATGTGGCTTACATAGATATCCTATAAAATTAGAATGAATGAGACCTTCTTTTATGAGTTTGGGTAAAGATTATCACGATTTGAGACTATGCCAAGAAAGTAAACTAGCAGGGATTTCTACCATTTGGGATTTCAATCTGTTCTCTAACAGATTGGTTACAGCTTTCTTGATAAGGATAAAGAAATACTTTTTTAAAGGCAGTGACTTTGCAGTTTTTTTCTTTTTGAGTTGGAGTCTCACTCCATCGCTCAGGCTGGAGTGCAGTGGCATGCACACTCATGGCCACCCCAGCGTCGACCTGCTGGGCTCTGGCAATCCTTCTGCCTTAGTCTTCCAAGTAGCCGGAACTACAGGCGCGGGCTATCATGCCAGGCTAATTTTTGATTTATTGTAGAGATGAGGTCTCGCCAAGTTGCCCAGGCTGGTCTCAAATCCCTGGGCTCAGGAAATCCACTTGCCTCGGCCTCCCAAAGTGCTGGAATTACAGGCTGAGCCACCAAGCCCGGCCGACTTTGCAATTTTTTAAAGGAAGTAGTAGACAGTATTTTTGAATGAAACTCACATATTCCTGGCTTTTTGGTTCATCTTCAGGTTTGTACTCCCTAAGTCAGGCTTTTCCAGCCCCTCTGTGAAAGGCCTTGTTGCCTTTTCGATTTTTACAAAAGAGCCGCCCTGTAGGTGCATCTTACTAGTAAGATGGGCAACTTTATTCCCTTCCTTGGCATTGAGTAAGATATAAGAGATTAGGATGACGAGTTTGCTGATGTAAATGAAAGCTCATCAGTTCATTAGTGGCCGCTGTTAGTGTGTTCTTCCTTTTGGACTTTGGAGAGAGGACATTTGCTGGGGTTTGACAAAGAGTGTTCTGCTGACTATTCCTGCATCTGAATCCTCAGAGTGGGAGTGGGAAGCAGAAAAAGCAGATCCCTCACTTTAAATTTACCGAGTTGGAATCTTTTGAGGTGGGGCTTGGATACTAATTTATTTTAAACCTCTCCAGATAACCTTTATGTAGCCCAAAGCCTGGGAACCTCTTCCTTAGAAGTTCCACATTACCATTCAATTCCTCCCATAAACCAGGGCTGGGAAATTTTATTTCAAAGGGTTACTGAGAAGTGGGTGTGCTCTTTGTGTTAATGGAAGATACAATTCTGTGCATTCTCTATGGGCTAGCTCTTTTTTCCTCTACCTCTTTCTTTCTCTTCTGTCTCTCTCTCAGTCTCTCTTGCCCAAGCACACACATGACAAAGCCTTTAAATTTGAGTTTCTCCATGGGATTCTAACCCTGGGAAACTTTTTGTTTTCTTTAATAAAGGAAAAAAAAGTTATCTATAAGAAATCAGAACTTATAGATGGGGAAATAATTCTATTCTTATTTTACAGATAAGAAAGTTGAGGCACAGAGAGCCTAGTAACTTGCTCAGATGGCCTGTGTGGTGAAACTAGGATTTGAATGCTGATAAAACTGGTACTAAAGCCCAGGCTCTCTCTAGCCACTGTAACACTGCCTATTGGGAAGAAAGTATGGAGCGGTAACTCCTTCTCATACCTTTTATTCCTACTAAGAAGGTTTCATTCACAAACAGACACACATCAGCACTTCATCTCCAGTTAGAAACACCTATTTTAAGAAGGGAGAAAATCTATATATGAAGACTATTAGGGCCTTTGTAACATTTCTTGAATGGTGTGCCATGGACAAACTGATCTTTGAAAGCTAATTGTCCACTCAAGGTAGACGGTGTCTAGGGTGCAAATATTGTTTTTGTTTTTGGCACTTATCATGTGCTTTAATAATGTGAATTTGTTGTCAATATCTGAAAATCAGGAAATTTTATGTAAGAATCCAGATTTCCAACACCTCTTGAAAAATGAGTCCTGGGGAACCCACATGCTAAGTGGTAACAATTAGAGCAGAGTGGTGGTTGCTTCCTTTACATGGTGCTCTCCAGTTCACTATGGTCCCCACTGCTCCCTATTGTCCTATAACCAGGCTGCTTCATTCATGTATGTTTCTGCCTGACCCGTGCATTCCTCTGACTTTGAGACTTTTGGCCCTGACTCAGCACACATTTCTGTAGGTTGAAACCTCACCACACCATCCCCACATAAATAAATCCTGGAGTTAGCCACAAAGCAAGTGCCATTTACTGGTCTTTGTTACTGGGTGTTCTAGAAGGAACATGCTAACTTAGAGGTACTGTGGAGTCTGGTTGAGAACACAGCCTGAAGAATCACACTATCTTGGATTAAACCCTATCTTTACCACTAACTAGCTGTGAGAACTTAGTCACTCCACTTCTTTGAGCTTCAGTTTCCTCATCTGCAAAATGGAGATAATAATACCTACCCCTTTGGGTTGCTAATGAGGACTAATTTGTGTAAGGGCTTAGAACAGTGCCTGGCGTATGGCAAGGTCTAGCTCAGGGTCAGTATTATTATAACCTACTTAGCTCAAACACTAATCTGGGCAATATGTATTTTGACAGTTCCCAGGAGTTAAGCCAAGGCCTGGCCTCATTCCCTTGTCCCTTGAGTTTGGTTCATGAGTACAAAGACTTGAACTCTTTTTAATCACATCTTAAATTCTGAGATCTTCTCCTAGCAACGTTGGTAACAATAGTAATAATAAGATTAATAAATGGCTTGTATTTTTGTGCACTAAGGAACAGAAACACCAAGCCATACACATTCTATGGGTTGTCTAATTAATCTTTACAATAGCTTTATGAAATGGGTACTCCTAAAATCTCCATTTCACAGCTGAGAAAACTTAACTTCAGGGAGGTTAAACAATTGACTGAAGGATTCACAGGGAATAAGTGTCTGGGGGAGGGCAGGGAGCTGGGGAGGACAGTCTGGTGCCAAACGTGCACTTTAACCCCATGCTCTGTGGCCCCTGCTCACATGGACACAAAGCACATTATGCCTTCTCTTAAGAATACAGTCAGGTGTGTTCACACCTATTCTCTAACTGTCTTCCCCTTCACAGGTCAACATCATCAAATTTGCCATTCTGCAGGCAAGAAGCCTTGGGTTTCCTTTTATGGATTATCCTTTTATCTTTTGGAAGCCCCCTATATTTTCTTTGTGACTGCTGTTTTGACATCTTCCTCTCTATTCAACTGCCATTGATTGCTCTGGGGCCTGGCTTGTCCCATAAGAAGTTAATCTACTGTTACACCTGCTACTCTCTTGGTTGCTAAGGTTGGGTCAGCTGACTTGGAAAGTAAGAGGACGTTCTCTTTCTCCCCAACCCACCTAGATCAGCCTGTAGTCATCCAGACCAAAGATGTTGACCTCTCAACTTGAGGGGCATAGGACTTCATTCAGAAATAAAGAAGTAGCTATGCTTCTCTGGCTGAAAAGCTAAAGAATTTCTCAGCATTCTTATCTGTTTTGCCAGGAGCTACACAGCAAGACACAGAGCTGGATCTTGGCTTGCCATTTCGAGTTGGTGTTGTCCATAGCATCACCTTGCCCTCTGTCAAACCTCTGATGGAAAATGTCATTGATTCTAGCAGATGGAGCCCATCTCAGCTGGTTAGAAAAATCAGAACAAATTTGTTCAAATCCAGAGGGACACATCAAAAGCATCCATCTCTTTATGAGATGAAAACTCATTGGCAATATCAAGCATATGTGCTGCCCTCTTTGCCCTTAAACTAAGAACAATTATGCTAGTTTAATGCAAAATCATGTAAGAGATCATATAGTAGATTACATGGCAAGGCAGATCCAGTGACAATCCTAAATATTCCACTTAGTCTCCCACATTTCCCACCCTCATACAGTTAGGCAGGACTATGTGACTGATTTCAGTTGATTAATGTGAGCCTAAGTGACATTTGTCACTCCTGGGCTGAGGCAGTAAAAAGCCCAGTAGGATTCTCCAATCTTCCTCTCCTCCGCTTTCACATGAGGACACCTCATGTTCTAGATCTGAAGTTGGCAAACTACAGCCCACAGACAAGATGCCTGTTTTTGTAAATAAAGTTTTATTGGAACACAGCCATATCTGTTCATTTACATATTGTCTATGGCTGCTTTTGTGCTAAAATGGCAGATCTAAGTAGTTGTGACAAAGACCGTGATAGAGACCATATGGTCTACCAGGCTTAAAATATTTACTATCTGGCCCTTTATAGAAAAATTTTGTCAGCTCTGTACTAGATAGAGAAGCTACAAGATGGTGGAACTTCGGATGCCCCAGGATCCTGAATGACTGTGTGGAGGAGAGACCTTCCTCTGATTTATAAGGTCCATGTAGTGTCAGTGAAGAGAACATAAGAACCCTTTTGTACAGGGTTGTCACTAGAATGTAACCTAACCTACCCTAACAGATTCTAATGGGCATTCAAGAAAAAGTCATTTTACACTGGGAGGGATTAAAAAAGCCTACTTACTTTCTTGTGAAGTGAACTGCACAAGAAATGCCGATGATGATAAGGCCAATGATGATGGAAGCGATGGCTACCCACTTGGCATTCCGCCCAAGCCGCCTGGATCCTTCGTAATCTCCTTCGTTGTAGCTGTTCAGAGACTAGGGAACACAAGGAAAGAGCTGGTGATGATGGACAACCCACAAGGAAAGGCATGGGAATTCTCAGGCTGTCTTGATAAACATGCTCAAAGAGTCCTCTGGTGACTGTTCATCTCAATGTCAGGGTGCTGAACATACAACATGTTATCACCTCCTCCAGGAGTCCTTTCCTAAACTCCAAGGCTGAGTTAACTGTCCCCTCTGTATTTCTTGATTACTTTCATCTTAGCATTTGCCATAGCATATTAAAATGATTGATTTTTGTCTCTCCTATCAGAATGTAAGTGCTATGTGGGCAGAGACAGTTATCTCTCTTGTTCAGCACGGCATACCAGTGCCTAATTCTTGTCATGTAGAAAATGCTGGTTAAATATTTGCAGCATAAAAGGGGAAATGAGTATGCCTGTCTTGTCCACTAGAGCAGGGGTTTGTAACCTATGGCCTGTGGGCCAAATCCAGCTGCTGTTTGTTTTTGTAAATCAAGTTTGTTTAGAAATAGGCACACTCATTAATATCCTCCTGTCTGTGGCTGCTTTTGTGTTTCAATGGCAGAGTTGAGTCATTGGGACAGAGACTGCAGAGACTACAAGGTTAAAAATATTTACTATTTGGTCATTTACCAAAAAAGTTTACTCACTCCTGCACTAGAAAACCAATCCATGGAGTCAGGGACCTTGGCTGAATTACTCATCTCTATGCTGAAGCCAAGGTTGTCATTCATAGCTGTTAAAATGTTAAAATACTTCTGTATTCATTGATAAATAGCAGCTACTCTGAAGCTTGTCCACATCCCTCCCATGTCCCAGCTATACTGCTTCCTTCTCTGGATTTCCTCAGACTACCCATCATCCAGCAACTTAAGGTTTTTTTTTTTTTTGTTTGTTTGTTTGTTTGTTTTTTGACCCAGGGTCTCACTGTGTTGCCCAAGCTGGAGTTCAGTGGCATAATCATAGCTCACTGTAGCCTTGCCCTCCAGTGCTCTATCAATCTTTCTATCTCAGCCTCCAAAGTAGCTGGGTCTATGGGTGTGTATCAACATGTCTGGCTAATTAAAAAAATTTTTTTTGTGGCAATAGGATCTGGCTATGTTGCCCAGGTTGGTCTTGAACTCCTGACTCCAAGCAATCCTCCTGCCTCAGCCTCCCAAAGTGCTGGAATTACGAACACAAGTCACCATGCATGGCCAAATTAAGGGTTATTACTGGACATATTACAGAGCATATTGTCTGATTCCATGCCCATGCCAAAGCTGTTAAATATTTAAATATTGTTCTTGTCATCAGTACTTTGAGTTAAGTCTGGCACATTGTAGGAGCTCAAGAAATAGGTATTGACTGAATGGGTGAATGAATATGTTTGTTTCCTACAGAACATGCATTCTTTGAGGGCATCTTGGAGTTCTCAGGACCTAGCCAAGAGCCAAGCAATGCAGAGATGCCCAGAGAATGCTTCTTGCTGAGTTGAAGACCAGATGCTGTTCGTTTCCCTTGTAATAAGCCCTCTCTATATCATTTCACTGCTAAGAATCTCCCAACAGTTGTGCTGCAGCCCAAAGAAGACTGGAAATACATATTTACAAGTTGTGTATGATGGGACTCCGTCAGTGACGTGAATTATAGATTTCACTGGGAACCTCTATTCTTGATTCTGAAATCACTGCACTTCAATAATTATTGTTCCTCTTCCTGGACTAATAACGGGGATTAGGCATATGCAGACAATTACAAGCTAGAGAAATACCCAGTATACCACAGAGCTTTCTGCTTCCGGAACCTTCCATTAATTCTTGGATCTGGGCCACTTTAGTCAGCAACAGGCGGAGACTCAGCAATAAGAGGGTTTGCTTTCAGGCCTCTAGTGTGAATGAAAGAGCAAGAAGCTGCAGCAGTGTTAGGAACTTCCAGCAAGGTGAGTTCCAGAACTTCCAGTTCTGAATTCTGGAATTCTCAACTATGGGTGCCTATTAGAACCACATGGGTAGTTTGAAACACACACAAACACAACAATCAAACAAGATATCCAGGTCTTATCCTGGAGAGATTCTGCTTTAACTGGTGTGAGCATTAGGCACTACATGTTCTGTGTCTGATTTTTTTTTGTGTGTGGTAAAATATGTATAAAATTTACCCTTTTAACCTTTCTTTTTTTTTGAGTTGGAGTCTCACTCTGTCAACCAGTTGGAGTGCAGTGGCATGCTCATGGCCACTGCAGCCTCGACCTGCTGGGATCAGGTCATCCTTCTGCCTCAGCCTTCCAAGTAGCTGCAACTACAGGCATGTGCCACCACGCCTGGCTAATTTTTTGATTTACTGTAGAGATGAAGTCTCACCATATTGCCCAGGCCGTTCTTGAACCCGTGGGCTCAGGAAATCCTCTGGCCTCTGCCTTCCAAAGTACTGGAATTACAGGCATGAGCCACCACGCCTGGCTATTTTAACCATTTTTAAGTATATAGTTTAGTGGCATTGAGTACATTCACATTGTTGTGCAACCATAACCACAATTTATCTCCAGCACCTTTTCAGTTTTCCAAACTGAAACTCCGTCCCTGCTAAACACTAACTCCCCTGTGCACCCACCCCCAACGCCCTGGCAACAACCATTCTACTTTCTAACTCTATAAATTAGACCGCTCTGGGTACCTCATATAAGTGAAATCAAACAGTAGTAGTCCCTTTGTGACTGGCTTCTTTTACTTAGCATAATGTTGTCAAGTCTCATCTATGTGTCAGAGTCTCCCTACCCCGTTTTCTTGAGACAGGGTTTTACTTTGTTACCCAGGCTGTTGTGCAGTGGCACAATCAGCTCATTGCAACCTTGGATCCTGGGCTCAGGTGATCCTCTTGCCTCAGTCTCCTGAGTTGCTGGGACTATAGGCATGTGCTACCATGCCCAGCTAATTTTTTTATTTTTATTTTTGTAGAGATGGGATCTTGTTTTGTTGCCCAGACTGGCGTGGAACTCTTGAGCTCAAGTGATCTTCCCACCTCTACCTCTCAAAGTCCTGGGATTACAAGCATGAGCAACTGTGCCTGGTCTATCCCTTCTTTTTAAGGTTGAATAATATTCCATTGCAGGGATATATCACATTTTGTTTATGTGTTCATCTGTAGGAAGTCACTTGGGTTGCTTTCTCATTGTTATCATTATTTTTTTAACTTCAGAAGATTGAAAATCTCTGTTGTAGGTAGCTATCCTTAACATCCTTCAAGGTCAAGAAGTTTACTACCATTACATTTATTCCAAGGTAGTATGTAGTAGAGCGTGGGCTCTAAACTCAGAGAAACCTGAGCTCATATTCCACGTCTTATCAGCTGTGAGAGCAAGGGCAAGTTATTACCTTTTCTAAGACTCAGTGTCTTCATCTTTAAATTGGGGGCAGTAGTCACAGCACCTGTTTCACAATGGAGGATCCAATGAGCTAATGCATGTAAAGTGGTTAGCATTGGCTTAGTGCATAGTATATGCTCAATAAATGTAAGTTTTCACTGTGAATTGTCACTTCCTGTCTTGCTCTTATTTTAAAGCTGTGATTCTTGGGGCACAACAGGATTATCTTGACCCCTTGGTGAATGAGAATCTTTGGGAATCCAAGTTTGAGAAGCTATTGTAGAGGCTTCACAATCAAAATCACTGCATAGAATATTCGGACCCAAATTCTGAGCTCATAATCTAGTTGAGAATTATGTAGAATCAGGCCCTCCCAAATGGATCTATTATGCTACCTTGGAAAACACAGTTCTGAGATTTGAGGGCATCTTGGAGTTCTGTAGAACATAGTTCTGAGATCAGTCACAGTGATGCATTTGTGTCACTGTAATCAGATGAAAAATAGTGAGGTCCTCCCCTCTCTTCCCAAACAATGTCAACTCCTTGCTGTTTGAATGAAAAAAGTTTCCTGCTCTCAGAAGCAGTGACCAAAAAGGTGGTAAGAACAGCCAGTCTGTGTCCTATTGAGGGGTATATTTATCATGTGCGTATTGCTGTGAACACAGGTGAGTTTTGAGTTGTTTGATACAGGTCTACTAGTACCTGGCGGAAGGGGACTTGGGAGCAAGCCACAGGCAAATCCTGACCCACCCTCATCACCTGCTGCCAGTCCGGCATCTTGGATGTGACCTGCCTCTCTACAAGCCGCCATCTTTCCAGGGCTCAGAAGGGAGACCCAGAATGGGGTTGCTGTTGGCTTGAAAAACAGATGAAAAGTCCCTTTCAGTTGTAAGTGCAAACTCCTCTCCCCATAAGTCCTCTTCTGAATCCATATTCTCCTCACAGAAATCTGCTGGGCTTTGCCCACCCAGCAGGAGATGGGCCGAAGGATGAAAGTGGGAGACTTTTGAACTCTCAGATATCATTCTGAAGGACTTCAGTGGCTGAGGGTCTTGGGCTTAAGGGTAGAGAACTCACAGTGAAGCAGAAGGATTGCTTTCCCCGTTCCCCAACATGTCAGCTGTAATTCTCTTTCTCTTCCAGTTGGAATTTTATACTAAGGTTCTCCTGGCAGATGCAACAGACTGAAGTGATAGAAATGGATTTTAGAGAAAATGCATGGTTTATAAATCTTTTTCTGAGGAGCTTAGAATGCAAACTATTCCATCTGGTGTGGAAGAACTAGAAAGAAATGGGCCGGCTTTAGATATTCAAAATTTATATGGGCTTATTTGTTCTCTTAAAAATTACTAATGCAATTTGTGAATATGTAAAGCATTCAAGCACTACAGAAACATATACAGTAAATAGTACAGCTTTTCCCTAATCTTATTTCCCAGAGACAACCCTATTAGCAGTTTGGTGCATTTACTTTTAGATTTTTTTTCCCCATGAATAATATGAAAAGAAAACTGATACTTTTTCTTGCTTCCATTAAGACTAAGCACATCATGTATCACAGTCAGGAGAAAGAAACAGCGATTTTCACCCCAAGATAAACCAAGAATAACAACAGTATCAGTCTGTCTAGTCCTGATCCCTCAAATATTAAAACCTTGAGCATTCCCCAT